GGGGTAGGGGAGGGAGGAACATGGGGGATATGGGGAGGGACATGGGGGAGGGGAGAGAAAGACATGGGGGATGTGGGAGGACCACGGGGAAGGTAAGGAGGGACATGGGGGCAGGTGGTGGGGAGGAGGGGTGGGTCAGGGTACAACAGAGGTGAGAGCAAAGGAGAGGAGAGGGGAGGGGGACAGTGGGGAGGGGGAGTGTGAACAGGGATAGTCGGGGGCAACAGGGCCATGGACAGTCAGAGGGGGTGGTGGGGAGCTGCGGGAGCAATGCCAGCCCCCCGTGGCCCCATCTATGCCCCAGCACCTTAAGCAGTGCAAGGTCATTCTCCAGCTTGGGGGGCTTCTTGTAGTCTGGGTGGAGGACGGTCTTCTTGAGGTGGAAGCGGAGGCCGGGGTCATTGGGGTCGTCCAGGGTGTGCAGACCCAACACCAGTGTCAGGAGCTTCGCCCTGCAGGCGGCAGAGGTAAGGGTGCAACCAGTAGTCTGGAGGACCCCCTGCCCCATTGCCTAAATTCAAGGCTGCTCGTGTGGGGGGGACCTGCCGTCCCCCCACAAGACTTTTGCTTTGGCTGGTCCCCCCCTGCCCTTTGTCAATTCCTTTCTTCCAGGAAGCCTGCTTGCTCCCACCCTACCCCTGACCCTAGTGGGTCTGTGTCCAAATGCACTGACCCCTACCTGGGGCTCCCTGGAGACCTGCCTAGGGCCTCCCCCACTGGGGGCCCAGCCTCATCCCTGCATATTTTATGCCTCAATCACAGTGATTTGTGCAGAGGTTGGCATGTAGCCTAGGCCGAGCCCTCAGTGCCAATCCTGATCACTTGGCCCAACTAGAGACAAGCAGGCTCTCTTTTCACAGGACTTTGGGGGGTGGGGGCATCCTTGCCACCACATGCAAGAACCTTCTGAGAATGCAGCTGGCACAAAGGCCAGCAATGGTGAGAGGCAGACAGTCTCCTGAGTGCCTCACTTGAGCTCCTGGATCGAGCCACATCTGAAGCTCACTCTCCTTTCAGACACTTCAGTTACAGGAGCCAGCAGATCTCCTTTCGTTACTTAAACCAGTTTGATCTGGGGGCTTCATGACTGGCAAGTCCAGAAGTGGGCCGCTCTGGAGCGAGTCGATGGAGGAGCTTTGAAACGCAGGTTCAGGGACCCAGGTTCCTTCTTGAGTCAGCTCTGCTGTCCTTATCCACACAGGCCAGTTTGGCCCTTCAGGCCACCAGGTGGCAGACACATTCCTGGTGTCGCGAGCTGACCCAGTTTCATCCAGCTGGAAGGTGCCAAGCTTTCCTGTGTTTCTCTGAAGCAAGCCGACTCACCCTGCCCCACCCCTGGGATCCCTAGGCAGCCAGGCTGATCACTGGGAGAGGGAAGGGGGCAGCCGGGGAAAGTCAGAGGCCAGGGGATGCATTCCAGGGCAGCTGGGGTGATGGAGGGGCGGGGAGGAGGGGGCACTCACGTCTTGTTCAGGCAGTGGGCGGCTGTCAGCACCCACTGTGAGTGCACAAGGACTCCCCCGCATATGTGGCTGCCAGCCTTCTGCAGTGAGGCCATGTACGGCCGGGAGTGGGGGGCAGCCTCTCGACCCCCGATGATCTCGGCCTTGAACATGTGGCCTGTGGGGAGGGGGACAGAGAGAGCCAGTTAGGGCTGGGTGGGCCTTTCCTTGAGGCCTCTTGTTCCAGGACCCTCCTCCCGGGTGGAGGCTGGGCGGCTCGGAGGCCCTGGACCTCAGATAGATTAATCATTCTAATAAAAATCCCCATGGATCCCTGAGACTTCCAGGTGGGAACGCGGGAGTTCTCCATGATCCCTCCCTGCCCCTCACCTCAATGTCCCGGGGGGCCATCCCCATCTCTACACCCCCACCGCCCACATTCAGGCCCCCAAGGACTCCCTGGGCACCACACCCAGCCCCCACTGGCAGCCACACAGTTTCTTTAACAGGTGAATGGATGGAGAGGCTGGACTTCCCCCAACAGCTGGTGGGATTGTAAAATGGTGCAGCCTCCGTGGAGATGGTGTGATGACTCATCCAAAGGTTAGACACAGTTACCATGACCTGGCAATTCTACTTCCAGATGGGTGCCCAAGAAGTAAAAACACACACCCACACAAAAACTTGTGTACGGAAGTTCACAGCCACATAATTCACAATAGTCAGAAAGTGGAAGCCACCCAAGTGTCCATCCACGGATGAATGGATAAACACAATGTGGTCCACCCACACAATGGACTATTACTCAGCCCTAAAGAGAAAAGAAGTCCTACTACCTGCTACCATGTGGGTGAACCTTGAAAACATTACGGTCCGTGAAAGAAGACATACAAAGAGACATGGACTATATGACCCCAACTATATGAAGTCCAGAGCTGACATATCTAGAAGAGAAATTAGATGAGCGGTTGCCAGAGGCTGGGGCAATGGAGACTGACTGAAATGAGTGTGAGATTTCCTGCAGAGTGATGAAAACACTCTAAAGTTAGCTAGTGGTGGTGGCTGTAGGACTCTGTGTAAGTACTAACCACCCCTGAGTTGTACCCTTTAAATGGGTGAATTGTATGGTATGCGAAGTACATCTCAATAAAGCTGTTTTTACAAGTTTTAAACCAATCATGAATTTAAAAGGATTCATAAAAGTATATTGAATGTAAGCCAACTGAAAATCTTCCCATGCCTCCACATGCTTCAGAACTCCAAACACCCGTGACCCCTAGGACCCCCTCCTCGCTGGCCCTTTAGCTTCCTCACCTACTCCAGCCTCAGGGCCCCTCTGCTGGTCCTCCATGCGGTCGGCCAGCTCACTCCCACCCATGGCTGCCCCCGAGCCTTAGCCCCCAGCCTCCGCGCGTTACTTGGGGTCTGTTCAGACATTAATGGGGAAGAGAATACGGACGTTATTTGTAAGATTCTTGAAACTTTTCTGTAAGTCTGAAATTATGTCAAAATGAAAAAAATGTAAGTATCTATCTGGAATTGACCTCAGGCCCCTAATGGTCACATAGTAAGTATTATTCTTTTTAGTAAAAGCTTCCTAGAGATGTGATTCACCTCTGTAGAGTGTACAGTTCAGTGGGTTCAGCACTTTCAGAGCTCGGCAACTACCACCATCACCACCTACCTCTAGAACATTCCATTGCCCCAAGAGCAGGCCCCACACCCGGTGGCAGTCAGCATCCACACTTTTTAAAAATTGAACAGTTTTTGAATTGACAATCCATGCACATGGCACAACATTTGACAGGTACACACTTGAGTCGGTGGGAAGTGAGGTTCTCCTGCCTTTGCCCCTGGAAACATGCATTCTCACATGCCCTTCTAGGAGGATTTCCACCCGATGTGGGCTTACTCTGCCTCTTTTCCTCTTTGCCTTCTCCCCTTAACCATTTACCTGGGAGAGTGTTTCCAATCAGGATAAGCAGCCTCCTTCTCTGTGGATGAGCTGACATTTCTTTTTTTTCTTTTTTTAATTGTACTTCAGATGGTTTACAGAGCAAACTAGCTTCTCATTAAACAATTAGTACACGTATTGTTTTGTGACACTGATGTCAACATTCTCCTCTTCTCAGACTTGAGTTCCCCATTACCAGCTTTCCTGTCCCCTCCTGCCTTCTAGGACCAGCCTGCATTTCTTCATCGGCTCCCTTGGGGACACTGGAGTTGTTCCCGAGGCTCCGCTCTTAGTGTTCCCACCCTCCAACCCCCTAGGCACCAGTGTGGGGCCTCTGTTTCCCCACCTGCACCCCAGCTCCACTCACCTGCCCCGAGGGACCCCAGGGCCAGCACCAGCAGCAGGGACAGGCAGTGCTCCATGATGCTGTGAGTTGTGAGGTGGAGCTGGCCTGACACCCCCTCCAGCGGCTCACTCATCCTCTTCCTGTGGGTGAAGTGCTGCTCAAAGCTCCTAGCTCCCCCTGCACCCTAGACAGCATGAGGATGCTGTCAGAGAGCCCTGCTGTGGTGTCTGGGGTTCCTTCCTCTTACTGATGAGTTTAGGGACAGGCCACACTTCGTCCATGGGTTGGCTGATGGATACATGGGTAGTTTGTAGGTTTCGGTTATTATGAATAAAGCTGGGGTGAACACCCGCGTTCTGTGAACACCTGTGTGCCGGGAGCTCCGTGTGCTGAACACCGCGTGCTGTGCATACCCTGTTCTATGAACATCCGGGTATTTAGAACACCCCTGTACACGAGCCCTGGGCGGGGGCGGGGGGGTCGCGGGAGGGTTCGACGTGTGATGTCACTCCTGGCAGAGCCTGCGGGGGCTGCCTGCTTGGGGTCTCCCCCGCTCAGGGTGATTTCTGGGGGTCTGTCCCCTCCCAGCACTCCCCTCCCCCTCCGTCACTTGGTCCCCGCTGGCAGACCCAAGGGCCCACCACCCTGGCTTCAGCTTTTGGCTTAGGGTAGGGACTCCCCACTGGAGCTTTCCAGGAAGAGTCCTCACCCTTGCTGGAGCCGGCCGTGAGTCTCCCAAAGCTGCCTTGACATGTGACCACACACCCGGTCACTTAAGACAACGGGGATTTATTCTGACAGGTCCGGGTGGGCCTCGCTGGGCTGTAGGTAAGTCAACAGATAGGGGTACCACGTGCCAATAAAACTTTACTTACAAAAACAGCCGCGTGCACTGCCTCTGCTCTGAGAAGCCAGGGCTCGCCCACCTCAGCTCGCTGCTCCGGGCCCAGGAGGCCCTTTCCTCCCACCTGACACCCAGAACCCACTTGCTGGGGTTACAGGAAACGCAGCTTCACACTTGCACCCCTAGCGGGGCCGGTGGGGGTTGCCCCCAGGGGAGGAGAAAGTGGAGGGATGTAGTCCAGGCAGGGAAGCTGTGAAGAGCTCACTTTCCAGGCCTCCCCTCCACCGGCCCCATCAGTCCCCCAGCTTTGATCTTGTTGCTCAGCTCAGAGTCTCAGAGCCCACGCACATTGCGGGTGAGCAAGGCCGCGTCCAGCGGAAGGAGGGCGGAGGGATACGACATCGACATCGAGACTCTGCCTGCACACCACCATGCAGAGGTGGGGGCAGGGGCACATGGCCGTGCAGAGGTGGGGCGGGGGCGCACGGCTGAGCAGAGGTGAGGGGAGCACACGGCCGTGCAGAGGTGAGGGGGGCCTGGTCGGGGCCAGGGGCTGGGCTGGCAGCTTCAGAGTTCCAAAAAAAAGCTAGAAATAGTGGACTGGATGAAGCCCCCGCCCTAAGTAGACAATCGTGAGGCAGGGAGGTGTGCAGGACCCCCGAGAGTAAGGTAAAAACAGTGGGAGACCCTGATCGATAGTTTGGCTGGGACTTCAGGCCTCAGGAATTCTGGGGGGATGACACCACCTTCTTCCAGCTCAGCTCCTGCCCTGAGGTGTTTGCAGCAGGAAGAGGGGGCGCTGACCAGGCGGGGGTTTGCTCAGCCCATGCTGCACCCTTCCTCTGACCTGCCAGCCGCCCACTGTAGCTGGGTCATTTCCAGGCCTGGGGCTTCCTCCTACGCTCCTCAGAGCTCTGGGATGTACCCCGCTTCCCCCCAAATGCAACTGGCCACAGGAGGAATCCGAGCTTCCAGGACACCCCCATCTGTCCCGCTGGTGAGGGTGGCAAAGCAACAAGAGTGTCGGGCAGGCGACTCCAGCGTCCCCGTCCTGGTGGAGGCCAAGGAGAGTCTGCTGGTTTCTCATAAAGTCGTTTTATTGAAATTCCAAACAAACCAAAGCAGAGAGAAGCGGCGCCCAAGGGCACCCGTCCACTCACGTGCCAGGAAGGCCGCGGGTCCAGGTTAGGTGGCAGGACCACACCCCCAAGTCCCTGGATGCCCATCATCCCTCCACCCCAGGCCCCCCCAGGCCCCTCCTGCCGCAGGCAGTTCCCCAGCTGAGCGTCCTCTGAGCAGGATCCGGGTTTCCCAACCTCGCACCATAGCCCCGACTGCCCTTCCTGACCCCGGTGACCCCACCACTCCTCCCTAACGGAAACCCCAGAACACACACCGGGGAGGGAGGACCCGGAGCAGAACCACCAGGAACGCAAAGACCTCTGTGAGGTAGAGTCTTGGGCGGGCGGCCGCGGCCACACAGTCCCGTCCGTGAGGTAAAATCTGTAAGTTTATTTGGGCAGGTGGGCCGGCAGGCGGGTGGCAGGGTCAGGACTCCTCGGTGCCCGAGTCGTCCTCGTCCTCCCCGAAGCAGCTGTCGGCGCCCTCCTCCACCTCACCCTCCTCGTAGTAGTCATCATAGAAGAGGTCCGAGCCCTCGTCGGGCGCCGGGGCCTTGGTCTTCACGCAGTACTCAGCCAGCGTGGTCGGGACCGTCACGCCATCTCGCTCCGCGTCCACCTTGGTCCCCAGGACCTGCTTCCTGTGGGGGAGGCAGACGAGGACTGGTTCTGGGTTTCGTGCCCACTGCCCCTGCCCCCTCCACCCCCAGGCCCGTTGCCCCATGCGGCCCGCACGATCCTCCATCTCCCCAAAACCACCCCCCGTCCCTGTGGGAGCCGGGCCTGGCCTCTCCATACACATCCTGACGTTTGATTTCTTCTACACAACGGGCTGCGGTCATCCCTTCCGGAGAGGGGGAGACCCACCCCCAAATCTGGGAATTCCAAGGAGACAGCAAAGAGAACCGGAGGGAGAACTTCAACAAGCAAGGACTTGGGCAGGAGCGCAGGACAGCCCAGGCGGGAGGCACCCGTCAGCCCCTCCCTCTCCCCAACACCGAAACACTGACTTAGGCCGACGAGGGAGGGTCCTGGGGCTCCTGGGCTCAAGAACACAGGGAGGAGCCTGAGACAAAGCAGGTGAAGCCCGCAGCCAGAGCCCCAGACCAAAGACCCCCGTGGCCAGACCCCAGATCAGTCAAAGACCCCGCGGACGTTACAGAAGCCAGGACCCGTGACCACCGGCAGGAGCTGCTGGAGAGCCAGCCAGGGAGGGAGACAGTCAGGGCAGGGCTTCTTGCTCCTGGGGACACAATGATCACAGAGCTCACAGGGCCCATGTGGGCCTACCCTAAAGGGAGTCAGAGTGAAAGCAGAGCTTCCGACAGGTTCCTTCTGGTTCCACACCCTGCTGAGAATTTGCCTTTCCACCTACTGAATCAGAATCTACATTTTAACGAGATTCCCGGGTGATTCTTAATGCCAGCAGCTGCCTCAGACTTGCCAGAAATACAAATTATCAGTAAGGGGGGGAGGGGGTCAAACCATGGCTCCACCTTGACGGGGCTCCTGCCTCAGCCCAGGCCTGCAGCTCAGAGTTGCCCCCACAGGCGGGCCACTACCCCATCCCCTATGGCAGCCTGGTCCCAGGTCCTGGGTTCCCTGAGCCAGGACTAGCCGTGCAGCGGGATGCGAGATGTTGAAGGCGCCTCCAGGCATGCATGGGGTGGGGTGGGTGGGCAGGGCAGGAAACCCAGCTCCAGCTAAGCACCGCGCCCCGACCTGGGCGCACCAACAAAGCAGACTCTAATACAAAGTGACGACAAGGAGGGGCACTCTTGAGACTGAGGACGAGCGCAGCCCACAGCACCACCCTCCAGCATTCACAATTCCCACAGGCTGTGAACGGGTGGGGCTGCTCCACACATGATTACGTGTGTGTGCACGCAAACACGCGTGACGGCATGCCACAAGTCGTGAAAATCCCGAGAATGTAAAATACCATAGAACGCCAGACAGAAACGGGCCAACCAGCGCGAGGACACCCCACGTGACTCTACTCGGATAAACACCAACGCCAGGAATCGCAGGCTGCTGATCCTCCTGAGAGGCCTGCGCGTCAATCTGTGCACGTGTGACTACACACACGCATGCAGGCTCCTGCTTGCACACGTACGTACGTAAGCAACATCGTAAGAGCGGACGTGACAGACCAGGCAAGGCGGGTGGAGCAGAGAGGACGATGGGGAAGGCCCAGTGCACTGAGAGGAAAAGCAAGTGACAGCACAGCCGGGGGCTCGGTGGACAAGGGGAGCCAGACCCGAGGCTGCCACCCGGCAACCCGCTGCAGATACACGGGCCGTGACCCCGCGACCCGCTGCGGATACACGGGCCGTGACCCCGCGACCCGCTGCGGATACACGGGCCATGACCCCGCGACCCGCTGCGGATACACGGGCCGTGACCCCGCGACCCGCTGCGGATACACGGGCCATGACCCCGCGACCCGCTGCGGATACACGGGCCGTGACCCCGCGACCCTGATGTGACATGTCTGGGTGGGCAGTGGCCGAGGCAGGGGCAGGGCGTCTGCTGGGGACCTGGCATGGAGGTGGCCACGCAGCTGCCCACACCTGTGAAAACTCTCCCAGCTGAACCCAATGGGTTTACTTTACATAAGCGACACCTCGACACATCCTCAACGGTCCACACGCAATATAATCTGACTTTTTGGTAAAAAATCTACTTGTAAATTAAAGAGTCTGAAAAAACATGTCCATCTAAACGCTGCTCCTTAGGAACGAGAATCACGTGCTTTTCCTTCACTTTTTGCTTATAGTTGATCTATCTGCAAACCCCTACCTGCCCCCCAGTACTGTCCAAGCCCCCCAGCCTGGCCCCCCCCACTGTCTGCAGAACCCTGGCCTGGCCCCCTACACTGTCCACAGACCTCC